GTATTGACGGCCAGTTATAGCGGATGTCTGTACTCATTGATGGCGATCCCCACCAGAGCTAAACCCATCAACACATTGAATGAATTATCTGCAGCACAACGAAGCGGTCAGATTCAGGTGACAGCCATCGGTGGCTCCTCTTATTACGACTCTTTGAAGGTTTTCAACAGTTTTCACAAAATTTTTAATTGAACTTAAATTTACCAAAATTTATAATTTGTTGATTTCAAAGACCGCAAAGTTTGGTGTGTATCAGGAGATCGGGCAACTCATACAACCCGTCAGGAATAAGGACGAAGGACTCAATATTGTCATCAATGCCTCCAAACCTCACGCATACATCTCGACCAGAGATCACTTGTATTACGGTTTACTAAAGTTTGGTCCAAAACTTATACATTTGCCGCCTTATACTGAGGAGTCGACTGTGTTTCTCGATGTTATGGCTATTGCTATGCATTACGACTTCCAGTATAAGGATGTCTTCAATAAATTGTAATACTTTTGCAAACAATTAATTTTATGTCAACTAATCATTCATTTTGTTTGCATTCAATTCCGACCACAAGAATATCGGACCTAAAGAAAGGCGGTTTTCTCGACTACTGGCGCTTATCTGAGAACCGGAAGCTAGCAGTGAATGGGGATCAGAGTGTGAATACTGTGGACGACCAGAGAGAGCATGAGGTCCTTATCCTGGATCAGTTGCAAAGTGCTTTCTATCTGATGGCATTGGGCTATAGTTTGGCATTCATTGCACTCATCATTGAATTCATATACAAACGAAATCTAATCTGCATTAGAGTTCACACTATCGTCACATTAAGACTATTGCGGAGTAAATGTCAAACAATTTTGTGTAATATTTTTGTGACCAAAAGGTTTTCCTAAAACTTGAGAAATAAAATCTTTTTTTGTGACAAAAGTCTATAGACTTGTAGTGAAGCTGTGATTCATGTCTTGAATCAGTTTCCATGCATTCATTCACTCATTCATAGGAAAAGCCAACGAATGTGTCATTCAATGAGTGACCGATTGTTGTAACGCTTTATACGAATGGCTCTAAAACTGCGATTCATTTGCATTGAAATCATTTGAAAATCGCTTTAATTATCAGTATTTGTGGCGAAGAAGTGATGGAATTGTCATCGGATTGGACACAACCGGCGGCGCAGACGGCGAAGACATATGGGGAAGCGCTGGACGTGTTGGTGAAGTCGGGGCCGACCGACGACTATTCGCTGATCCAACGGATCGGAAGCGGAAGGTATGGCGAAGTGTTTGCGGCCATCAATGTGACCACCGATAAGAAGTACGCCATCAAAGTCCTCAAACCCGTGCGCATCGAGAAAGTGATCCGTGAGA